GTATGTTAATTTGAATGAATTGAATAAGAAAATAAAGCTTTATTAAGTCCTTAAAGGCTTTTATTGATCCCGTATGTTAATTTATTAGCAGTCAGCAGTAGTTTGGAGCAAATTTATGATTTACTTGTCGGTGACTTGAAGGTGAGACGCATCTGATTTGCGTTGCTTATAATTAGAGCGTATAGAGTAAAGTCAAAATGTACAAGTTCATGAACTAGGAATATTACTTACTTGTATACATATACAAAGTTTCTATTTACAGTTGATTGAATTCTACTAGATCAACTATAATAACAAAAGTAAAGATATGTTAAGATTAGCGACCCCCCTAGAATACTTACTTCATAGATACTGTTCTAAGAAGGTTAATAAGCTTTGTGCGAGTAACAACTACTCTGCGTAGTGGTTTTTCTCTCATCACTTATACGTATAAGTATAGATTCTATTTTACCTTGCTATCTTGTGAAGTAGCTTTATAAACTATTATGATTCAATAGTCAGTCAACGCGTTGCTAGCGGAATGAAAAGAACACTGAATGATTTTGGGTGTGGACCCTCGGCAAAAGTGAACAAATCCAGCTCTAACGAAAGAAAAAGTGAGACTGTTAATGAAGAAAGCGCGCATTACAGTAAAAGTGAAGTCGATGAAGATGATTTTCTTGTTTCCAGTAAGTAAAAATTAAACTTTTAGCAATTGAAAATCAGTACTATTAGGTTTTGACTTAATAGAATAAAATATCTGCAAGATTGGCAGCTTATTTTTAATTTTCGATTATTTTTGTCAGGTTTACAAAATACTAGTGATAATAACTTGGATTACGACGAACTGCTTAGCGAACCTGATTCCGAAGTTGACGTCGATGATCACGGACAACATGAGTGGAATTTCAGTGAAAATATTGACACAGTAATAGTTTCAAGTCAGTTAATAAATGATCGACCTACACCAACAACTCTACCTGTAGCTCAAGGTCTATCAGATCTTTCTCAATCAACGGAAGAAGGGCCTAAACAGCCAGTGTTGAAATTATTCCCGAAAACTATTTATGGATGCCTGTTCATTGCATGAATATATAATAGATAAGCTTCAAAAATGCTCTGTTGATTTAAATAAATGCGTTGCTCAGACCTATGATGGTGCTAACGTTATGAGTGGTCAATTCAAAGGTCTACAAACGATTTTTCGAGAAAAATCTTGCTCGCAAGCTTTATACGTTCATTGCTATAATCATAGATTAAATTTAATTTTAGTTGATGTGTGTAAAAATACCGATGTCGGCCGCGAATTTTTCGGATTTATAGAATCTTTATATGTTTTTTTTTCTGGTTCTACTATTCAAGCTATGTTTATAGATTTACAGACATTGATACACAAAGATCGCAACTTATAGAATTTAAAAAAATTTGCCACACACGGTGGTCTGCACAAGTTTCAGCTTGCTTAGCGGTAAAAAAGCTTCTTCCTGTCATTTTAATTTTTTTAAACAAACTTATAGCTACAAAGCATGATCGAGCGTCTGAAGCTAAAGGTACATTGGCACAGATAAATTTCAAATTGGTTTTTACATTATGTACTTTTTATGACATATTATTTCAGTTCAAAGTAGTGAGCGATTATATGCAATCCGTTTCTGCGGAAATAGGTCAAGTATTAAACCTTGTTACGTCTTTATTAAAAAACATGGATAATAACAGGGAAAATAATGAATACTTTGAAAAATTGTATAGAGAAAGTACTTTACTATGTGAAGAAAACTGTATTGACATACCTAATGAATCAACATCCACATCCAATGATCAACCTCAAAAACGTCATCGTAAAATTCCAAAAAAATATGAAAATTTTTTTGTTACTTGTGCATCATTTGAATCTGAAGACCCAGTTCAAAAAGATGAATTTAAGATCAAAATTTTGATTCCTTGTTTAGATGTTATAATTACTGAATTGAATGATTGATTTACAAAAAACGATAGTATTTTAAGAAGCATTGAATGTTTTTCACCATTAAGTGTTAATTTTTTGATTTATTCAAATTTAGAATCGGCGGCGATTCACTATAGAGCTGATTTGGACTTCCTGAAAACTGAATTGAAATTAATTCCAAAAACCATAGAACTGTACGAAAAAGAAAAAAAAGTGAAAATAACATCTACTATGATGTATTTAGATTTTTTAGAGATTTATAAAAATGCTTTTTCGCAAACGTACACTTTATGTGTTATTTCTATAACTATTCCAATGTCCAGTGCAGGCTGCGAAAGAACATTCTCTTGTATGCGTCTTATAAAATTGTATTTGCGCAATAAGATGCTTGATGATCGCTTGAGTAATTTAGCAATCATGTTTATTGAGAGAAAAATTTGCCAAAGCTCTTGATTTGGACAAAGTGGTAGATCGTTTTGCATCATTAAATAAAGGGCACCGTATAATTTTGTACAAATTTGATGTTAAATATATATTGATTTGCACAACTATTTCGAAAATTTATTTCTTTTTTCCTTATGCATATTATGTTTGAAAATTCCATTTTTGGTTGCTCCTGATGGAGTTGATATTCAGGATGGGCCAGCGCATGGGCCAGAAATTTTAATGCATGGGCCGTGGCCCACCCAGGCCCACCCGTAGCTACGTCCCTGGCACGAGAGAACTTAAGTGCGGGAAAATTTAAAATCATTTTGTCTCATTCACAAAATTATGAATAGTCTGTGTGGAAAAATTAAAGTCGGAATTCAAATTTCATTTTGATATCCAAGCACGAATTTTAAATTGTCAGTGGGCGTTTCAATTCTTTCAGTTATAGTAAATAAAACTATCCAATAGTTTAGTATTGCGCCAATTATCTCAATAAATACAAGTAACTGATATAGTGATTAAATAAATAGTTTCCTCATTGCGAGACTAAAATCACATTGAATCAATCTAAGAAAGGATAAATATAGGCCTAACCAATATGGTTGACCACCAAACCTACCAGGATTATAAAAGAAGATCGCAATGATGGATGATTTTACAGATGATTATCAGCAGATGTTTATAATGGGGTGTGTCTTGTACCCTTTGAAGCCACCTGTTATACTACTCGCTTAGATACTTCTCATACTCATAACCATAATCATTCCTGATTAGACCTATTCATTATCAATCGCCAGAATGGACTTATTAAACCCTTAAAATCTTCTCCACTTTGGATAATTTGTCTTGATTACCATAGCTTATCTAAATTTGATACATGCAAACAAGACAAAGAAATGTTTATAAAAGAAGCTTTAAAACAAAAAATTGCCAGTCAAAAAATAATTGTCAGGAATTAAAAATACAGCAAATGAATAATTACTATTCTAAATAACAACCATCAACTTTTCTTCAAGTTAAAAAATTCAGACAATATTTGATTAAACTCAAATTTTATTCTTAACACTCTTTTGCTTGGATGCTCTATTTTCATCACTTTCTCACATGCATACTTTTGTATAAACATTATTATGATTTTAGGATTTGTCGTATGTTAATTTATTAGCAGTTAGCAGTAGTTTGGAGCAAATTTATGATTTACTTGTTGGTGGCTTGAAGGTGAGATTTTATACGTTCATTGCTATAATCATAGATTAAATTTAATTTTAGTTGATGTGTGTAAAAATACCGATGTCGGTCGCGAATTTTTCGGATTTATAGAATCTTTATATGTTTTTTTTTCTGGTTCTACTATTCAAGCTATGTTTATAGATTNATGCTACACTTTTAGGCATGGTTATATTGTTGAATCCAAAAGTTTTCTACCAAGAATCAAACAAGAGAGCACAATAATTATAATGAAAAATTTAAGTGAGTTGTATTAAAATAGAAATTGTAGTAAAATTGATTACTTCCAATTAAAACCTTTTGTTATTCTTGTATAAAGTTCTAATCTAATACAATTATAAGTATTGACATGCATGTTTATAAGTAAAATGTAAGCAAGCATAACTTACCATTATAGCTTAAACGTGGCTTAGTTAAACACATTATAAGGTGACATTCAATGTCCTCCGGTAAAATAAATTTAGAACAAACTGGACACTTCAAACCTAAAATAATATCAAAAGTAAGATCAAACTGACCAAGAGTTGAAGTGTCTTAGAACTTATAGATTAAGTACCTTAGTAGCACATCGTAAGTTTTGAGAAGCAGACCCGTGCACTTAATACGCAATTTCTTACAGAATTACGTAATTTTGTAAGAAATTGCGTATTAAGTATATGGGTATGCTTCTCAAAACTGGCAATGTGCTACCAGGACGGACGGTAGGAGCAGATGTACCATAAAAGGCGCGTCTAACCGTATGCACAGGTACAACTTCATTTGCAGTATCATGCAGGCACGAGCTTACAATCACCCCCATAATTAATTTAAGTTAGGCTTCAAGCTATCACAGCATTCGATATTGTCAAGTATAGAGTACCCTTTCTAAGAGCTCCAAGCTGACAATAGTACAATATGAGATAATTACAACCCAGGCGCGTGTATTAAATGTATGCACTATTGCAGTCAGCAGTTAGACTGGTTACCAGGCCAACTACACAAACAACGAATGTCAAAACAAACACTTTTTCTAATACAGGTGTGTCCCTGACCACAAATCAGCAGCACACCAGAAAAAACAAGCAGTGTGAAGCAGCTGCCTGGTCCACACAGTGCTATGTGCAAAGCAAGGCACAGACATAAGAATACCATTGCTAGATGGTCTTGATAAGGAAAAAATAAATAGAACAAGAACTGACAAGAGAAAAATGTAAGGCAGTAAATTGATGGCTATGAGAACAGAGAATTATTGATACATTTTCATCGACATACACATTTCAACTAAAAGAACTGTACTTGCATTTTTTGTCGATTATTTTCCTTGTAATGCTGTGTATGCGACATGAAATTCCATAAAAATATATAAGTATGTTACATACATATCAAAATACTTAATAGTAACAAGAGCTTTCATCTGACATTATCACGGATAGAATTAATAATTTTACTTGTATGCTTTGCTTTGCTTAAAATATGACCAATATGACTGGCTATAACAGTAAATGTGGGGGTCAAACTGCTGTTTAATCCAGACTGACAGACTGCAAGTTTAGTGATCAATCTCTCATACTTGCTTGTTTAGACTTTGTATTCAGTGTAAGCACCACTCACAAGACAATATGGCATCAACACTCAAAACAAGCATCATAATCATGACTCAGTGCCTTTGTTAGGGCTGGTTTCAAGTTTGTGTGGCTCTACGTCTATAATAATCTAATACCAATTTTAAATCAGAGATATGCATCTTCAACACACAAGGATGCATGAATGTAAATAACCCCTATGCACACTGTCATAGTCCAAACACTTACCATTGAGAGACCAAATGTGGGAAGGTAAGCTGTTCGTGGCATAGACTCTACTACTGTCATTTTCGAGGTCATCCGGATCAAGCTGGGGAAGTCCAAGAACATGACTTACACCAACAGTGGCTCCAAGGCCAGCCTGCTCAGGCGGAAGGTCAGGTACAGAGCTGAGAGAACGTGCTCGTTGCCTGCTGTCAGAACCAATCCGGCTATCTACTTGGGTCTCACTAGGATGCTGCAACATACTCACACCACTAGGCAACGAGCGCAATGTTGAAAAGCTCTGCATAGTCTCACTAGGATCTGCAGGTGACTGACCACTCGCTCCGGCACCTTGCGTGATCGTGCTTGATTTCGCGCCCATCTTCGCAACGCACTACGTAGCCTTCCTATAGCTACTCTACTACTCTTGTAGCAGTAACAATGCTCTTCAACAAACGAGTGCTGTACTGTACAGGGTACAAACTGATGGTTATGGCCTAAAAATAGTTGACTTTATTATGGGGTTAAGGTTAAAGAATGTGGGAGTGGGAGCTACCGTCGTCTTCAAGTGCGGCAGAGCTGGCCCCGCCGAGGCTGGACGGGCAACTGATTAGGTTTAGCTGATACTGTGTCACCAGGCTCGAAAGTTTTACCCATATGTGCATATGTACATGTGCACACGCATATATTTTTGTGAGCATGATTTATATATTTTTGAACTCTAAACAGAATAATACATACGTTACCATGCAAAATACCTATTACTATAACGTATAACGTACATACAAGATTATATTACAACACGATGACAAAATAACACTTGTTCGAGGATTCAATCTGAGCAAACAAAATAAGTATCAGGGGTCAGGGGTATTAGGAGTTTCGAAGGCTTAAGCAGGCGTGGAAAAATACATTACTTTTCAGATTCAATTCAAACGGTATAAAACACTTCAGAATCTTTAGATGTTCCCGATTCCGTCATCCGATTCTAAAGGTTTGTGAAAAGTGTTCACAGTGTGAACTTCACACCCCCCACCCTACTATGGTTCGGTTCGGTTCAGCACTACACAGATATACTTTTTCCCACTAAACCTACACTGAGAGAACATTGGTGACGTACTGACGCTGCTTATTACGTCCAGGGGCCGTACCATATAACTATTTTTCTGTACATCGGCCTATGTTATAACATAAGCCTGCGAAGCTAAAAAAAGTTATATGGTACGGCTCCTGTGGGGGTGTGGGGACGTGGGGACACACACATGTACACTTCGGCTCTCCGTCCTTCTCCAACCATCCGCTAGGTGTCGAACCATTCAACTTGATCTCGCAAGTGCCCGGATTTCATGTTGGTTAATATATAAGGGCGTTTAAGTTTAACATCGAGCTAGGGTATCCCCACGATATAGGTGTCTAAGGCAGGGAGCACGTCATCAGCCTTACTGATGAGTCCTGGCGTGCTCCTGGGACGAAACATCAAACAATCTTGTCTCTCTTTTCATGGCATCACACGATAGCCATAGTGTGCCAATGTGGCGTTGGTCGCCATGTTCTCTAGAGCGCCACCCGCCGAAATTTCAATGAAAAAATGTCTGGGATCGTGTAAATGAGTTTTAATTTATAAATGTAGTAAAATATTTATTGATTGCATTCTAATATACACGTGTGTATATTTTATAATAATTTCATCGATGATGAAAAAATGAGGAATATTTTAAAGTGTGTAAGAATCATGTATAAATTTTATAATAATATCATAAAAATTGTACTTACGTAGATAGTAACTAGCCTACGTGCTTAAAAAATAACTTTAAAAAAACTTTATAAAAATCAAATAATCACGTAAAAATTTTTCTAACAAAAGTAAAATGTAAAGAATAATATATAAAGTGAATTAATGTAAGTAAAATGAATGATCGATACTCGATAAAACAGATTCTTGTGAAAATTAGCAAAGTGCAAATGAAATAAAAAATATCATTCCATTAGATTTTGTTCCTGTATCCAAGTCCAATAGTTTGATAAGAAAAAGCTGCTTCTGGTGCTTTTCAAAAAGTATCTGTCAAATATATTCAAAAAATTAAACGTAAACAAACATAGCAGACAACTGTTTGTGTGCAGAGAGGCGGCCGCCATGTTCTGTAGAGGGCCGAGCGACTGGAAATTCCGGACGCGGCGGACACTCTTTTTCTATGGAGTATTGCTACTGTATAAACTGTGACCTTGCTTTGGTTCCGCAGCGCCCTCGCAGCTTGAGAGAGCTGCAGCTTTCCCGTTTGGGACCGCAGCCTTCCCGAAAGTAGGGCAGCAACGATACCAGTACGTTAGGTTAGGGGTAAACGGGGGTATACTTGCGGGTTTTTTTTAGTGGTTAGCTTTAAACGATTGTCTAAGAAATTTAGTGCGTCAAATCGTTGTGATTTTTTTATTATTATTAAAGTTGGACTCAAAAACTATTGAATTCCCATTTTATAAATGTATAAACTCATGAATATCGATTTAAAAAGAGGTTTAAAAGTTCAGTTGCCAATGCTGGTTTTATTGCGGGCCTGTATGTATTATTGTGCACGTATTATTGTGGTCAATTTCAAAGCTAAATCTACCGGGTATCCGCAATAATACCATCAAAGTGAAAGAGGTTATGCGTGCACCAGTTATTGCGGAAGTGATTTTCTGTTATACAAATGTAAAGTTTTTAAGGCTATTTTTGAACTGAAGTTCAATGAATTAGGTACTCTATAACTTGATTTAATAATTTCAAGTATTTACTATCCATAACTCATCAGTTCAATTAAAATATACGCATTTTTCGAGAGTGCCGCAATAATTGGAGCAACCGCAAATAATACCCTCGTTTACCCCTAGATACCTTACCAACTATATCAGAACAGCTGACACATTTCTTCTTTCGTGCGAGAGAACAACCATACTGTCCGCTTAAAATTTGTACAGTAAATACGCGCTATAACGTTCATCGATATAATATTGTCATGCAGATAAGAATTTCCAATAACCATGACAACAATGACAGAATCTATTAGAGGTTGAAAACTGCTTTAAAAGTTTTGGCATACAGTTTCCTCATTTAAATAAATAATATGTTTCATTGAAATGTAAATATAATATATATTTCAATCATCCTGAATTATTGTAAGTTTATTATTTGATTATTTGGTTTTATACGTTCATTGCTATAATCATAGATTAAATTTAATTTTAGTTGATGTGTGTAAAAATACCGATGTCGGCCGCGAATTTTTCGGATTTATAGAATCTTTATATGTTTTTTTTTCTGGTTCTACTATTCAAGCTATGTTTATAGATTTACAGACATTGATACACAAAGATCGCAACTTATAGAATTTAAAAAAATTTGCCACACACGGTGGTCTGCACAAGTTTCAGCTTGCTTAGCGGTAAAAAAGCTTCTTCCTGTCATTTTAATTTTTTTAAACAAACTTATAGCTACAAAGCATGATCGAGCGTCTGAAGCTAAAGGTACATTGGCACAGATAAATTTCAAATTCGTTTTTACATTATGTACTTTTTATGACATATTATTTCAGTTCAAAGTAGTGAGCGATTATATGCAATCCGTTTCTGCGGAAATAGGTCAAGTATTAAACCTTGTTACGTCTTTATTAAAAAACATGGATAATAACAGGGAAAATAATGAATACTTTGAAAAATTGTATAGAGAAAGTACTTTACTATGTGAAGAAAACTGTATTGACATACCTAATGAATCAACATCCACATCCAATGATCAACCTCAAAAACGTCATCGTAAAATTCCAAAAAAATATGAAAATTTTTTTGTTACTTGTGCATCACTTGAATCTGAAGACCCAGTTCAAAAAGATGAATTTAAGATCAAAATTTTGATTCCTTGTTTAGATGTTATAATTACTGAATTGAATGATCGATGTACAAAAAACGATAGTATTTTAAGAAGCATTGAATGTTTTTCACCATTAAGTGATAATTTTTTGATTTATTCAAATTTAGAATCGGCGGCGATTCACTATAGAGCT